GAATGCAAATTTTACGATATTCCCAGCAGTAGTTAGACGCCGGCTCCAACAAGTTAAGTGGAAGGTGGGACAGGAACATACAGTAGCGCTCAAAAGTATTCGGCCAAATGCATTTTCGGCCGTAACTTTTCTTCTGCTGAATCAATTCAGTTCAAATTTTGATATGTTAAAGAGGCAAACATTCTTCACTAGGCAAGCGTATAAGTGTTGGATGGGAGGGAGAGCTAGGAATGAAAAAGTCCTTTTACTAAAAATTCTCGAGTATGCTCAAATTCCAAGTAGGTTTCAAATTATTGTAGAAAGCTTATAATTCAACAAAACAATCGACGGAATGGTAAATAACAACAAGCACATTCAGTACTCTGTTAATAGCCTTTTGGAGTTGCTGAAACCTCAACAGGGCCTAAGTGTGGAACCAGTCAATGAAAGCACTATCTATTGGGACAACCTCCTCAACTTTCCTTCAAAGTTGACGAGTTTCTCGCCATATTCCTAGCTCTTTTCTTTGCCATGACCTTCCCTATCCTTTTCTATAGTGTATCGATAACGCTTGGGATATGCAACTGAAGTTGTCCCTCCGTTTGAATCGCGCCATGCTGTCAAGAGCGCTCTTGCACAGTTGAGGTGCGATGCTTTGGATCGCTCTATTGCTAGAAGACGAAGTCAGTTTGGATGCAGGTGCCATACCATTGAGTACGCAACACTTTCTAGAACCTAACTCCATACGTGAGCCTTCACCACTTCTCAAATTCTATGCTGTAGTTGCACCTCTTTTACAGACTAACGTAAGCGAGCCTCTGCCTCGTTTCACGGATAGCAGCTGATACTTCGAATCGAAACCTCTTCCGGCGGGACGCCACACATGTGTTGCACTGTGGTGTCCTAACATCCCAAATTTACTTTCGTCGCTCCAGATGACGTTGGAGCCCTGTGGGGATCTCCCTTTCTGGTGTGCGCGGACTCATTCCATTCCCTATCACTTCACCGTCGGACAACTTCATAGGATTTGAGATGTGGCGAAGGTTGACGTATAAAGTTAGGTTTAGAAGGTGTTCCGTATTCGACCGTATTGCACCTGCACCGAACTGGTTTCGCCTTCTAGCAATAGAGCGATCCAAAGCATCGCACCTCAACTGTGCAAGAGCGCTCTTGATAGCATGGCGCGATTCAAACGGAGGGACAACTTCAGTTGCATATCCCAAGCGTTATCGATACACTATAGAAAAGGAAGAAGGTAAAGATAGGGAAGGTCATGGCAAAGAAAAGAGCTAGGAATATGGCGAGAAACTCGTCAACTTTGAAGGAAAGTTGAGGAGGTTGTCCCAATAGATAGTGCATTCATTGACTGGTTCCACACTTAGGGGTTTCAGCAACTCCAAAAGGCTATTAACAGAGTACTGAATGTGTTACTTGTTGTTACTTACGTCATTCCGTCCATTGTTTTGTTGAATTATAAGCTTCCTAACAATAATTTGAAACCTACTTGGAATTTGAGCATACTCGAGAATTTTAGTAAGGACTTTTTCATTCCTAGCTCTCCCTCCCATCCACACTTATACGCTTGCCTAGTGAAGAATGTTTGCCTCTTTAACATATCAAAATTTGAACTGAATTGATTCAGCAGAAGAAAAGTTACGCCGAAAATGCATTTGGCCGAATACTTTTGAGCGCTACTGTATATTATATTTGTTTTTATGGATTATATTTTTCTATTTATATTTGTTTGTTTATATAATATTTGTTTTTTTTTCGACTTCGTTTCATAGTTCCAGTCGCAGAGGTAAACAGGGGGTAAATGCTCTAGCTTGCACCCCGGCTAGCCTAAAATTCTGAAGGTCGCCATAGGGAGAAATCACATCCGAATGAAAAAAGGATTTTGAATGGGTGCCTGACACGTGAGCATTCTAGTAAGTGATTGGCACCGATTGCTCTATAACTTTCTTACAATTTTTTATTTTCCAATTAAATTTACTTCATGCCTTTACGAAACCTGAATTATCGGCGTCAATTGCTTACTTCGCTTACGGCTTATCACTCCTTCCCAAGATAATGACAGCCTACTGAAGTCTCTTTGCCGCCTGATTGAGATTTGCTTTGAGATGTGAAGTATTCATAGGTTAAACTCGATAGTTTATACAATATTGTACAGGTGATGAAAGTGACAGTCAGTGAAAGACTAAGGCTCCCGAAATAAAGCTATTAGAAATCTGAGAAGAACTCTGTGAATGCCACACAGCACAGAACGTCGTTCTCTCCCCGCAAATCACGCCGCCCACGCAGGCTGTGTCACTAGACGTAGGTTGTTGCCTGCAGTCGGATTCGGCTTTCCAATTCAAACAGATGTTCGTCCTGATCGTCCGGGAACAGCAATCGGACGTGCTCGGCCAACTTCAGTACATATCTGGAATAAGGAAAGATTAAGGAGGACGTACTCGGAACTTGAAAACTAGCGCCGCGCAAGTACATCGCCCTCAGAGAATTACTCCGTAGGCGTCAACGCGATCTTGAAAAATTGGCTAAACTCACTCGAAATTCGGCCCAGCGCATCCTCTGGCTTGTCGAATCTCTATGGCCATTTGTTCGATGTCGGCATCGCCGAGGTAAAACTCGTTGTCTAGTCGGGCAATGCATGTCCAGGCATTTATCATATCCCCGGAATCGGCAATCTCCACAGGGATTTCGACGAAATCATAGCCATTGTTGATCTGAAAACAAATAGGTTTATCATCTGAGCATTTAACACGGTTTGTCAAATTAAGCCTTTTCTTGGCAAAAACCTACCTCTCTTTCCCAGAGATGGACGAATGCCTCACGGATGTTCTCTTGGCCGACCACTTCAAAAACGATTCCGGTAGCGAATGAATCATCGTCTTGAACGAGCGTCGCAACGCGTCCTGGCTGAAATTATAACCTTAAATGACCTTGGCTCAAAAATTAGGCACGATGTAAGCACTTGTACGGTATGCGGATCGCACCCTACCCTAGTTTCTCGAATCTTCTATTTCTCAGAGATCTGTCGGTTTGTGAAGGTTTATTTGAAACCTTTAAAGGTTATGGGTAAGCCAAATGTCCTTTTAGCAGCTCAACGACTCGAGGTTGAAGTATTGGAGCAGCTCACACCCCCCCTCTCCCACTTCAAGAGTTAGACAACGAAGCCCCGAAATTTGTTCCCCCAAATCAAACATCTAAGAAAGACAGAGATCAGAGAAGCCCACAATACGACTTCATAGTGGCCGATGGCATAGCTACCCATTCCTATTCGGATGGGAAGAAATTTGGAATTTTCCTTCCTTTCTTCAGTGTTGACCTATAATCCCTTACCCCCGAAGTAGCCTAGTAATTACTCGTTAGCTATAGAGGCCTTGAGCACAATGGCTTTTCCGCAGGAAATCCCTCCTCCTCCGCGGGATCGATAAAAGTCCGAGACAAACATCTGTTTTTGCCGCAGTAGTACGACGCTATACGAAAAGGGCCAAAGAACTCGAAAGTATATAGATAGGACTACGAACCTGTTGTCGATCGCCTCGATGATAGGTGTTGCCCTGGTACATTCGACGAGCAAATCCATGGGCATAAGCTTTTTCTTTATTCGTGTAGGCGAACCCTGGATTCCAAATTAACGATCCATAGCCGAAAAAGTAAACAGAGTCCTTTGATGTTGTAGCGTGCATTTTTTATCGTAGCTGAAAAAGCGTTCAGATTAATAAGAAAAACTGGCAACTAGCCAAGTCATCGTAACGACTAGCAGTAATTACTACAGGAAAGAATATCATCTCAAAGCACGACAGTGAGAAAGGCGATCAATGCAAGTGCACGAAAGGCTCAGGAAAGTTTCCACATTTGAGAGAAGGGAGGTTGGTAAAGAGCCTATTGGTAAAGGTTGTTTAAGCAACCTCTAGAGGTAGAACACCAAGCATTCAAAATAAACCGTACCAATGAAGACGAATAAAAGAAAGCTTGTTAGTTCAGGAGGTTCACCTCGCGGTGGTTCGCAAGGTACTATGATTTGACCACCTTTCATTATAGGGAGGGGGATTTCTCAAAAATGGGCAAAAGCTATGATAAACAAATAACACGACACTTCCCCTGCTGAACCATCCCGTACAGTAATCCGCACACCTAGCAAGTAAGCTCCTTCGAGAGCTTTACATGAAATAAGAAGGAAAAGGCCATTTATGGACAATATTTGTGGAACACAGAATACACTGAGGTGAAAACCAAAGAGCATTGATACTGTAACGAAATGGGAGAAAGTACTGTCAGAATGATTAGGAATGTCCCTGGTAACGCGTCAGCTTGTAAGCGCAGGAAAAAGGCGAAAGTGACCAGCTTGGCAACTCACGAGAGAGTGTACGGCGCAGCGAAGGGAATTCGATCGTACGTCGCCGAGAGGCGGTGGTCTCGCGCGGAACGATGACGATGGCAGATGTGCATCAGCTGGCGGCCACGGAGAGAGAAGCGGACGGGACGGGTGAGAGCAGGAAGGCATTCAAATGGACGACCACAATTGGGCGGGAGTGGTCGAGCATGCCTATTGAATTGGCCTAAGTGTAGATCATCATCGCATAGGCATTGAGAGGAAAGGCCTATGGTAAGGCGATACTTCGATAGTCACGTATGAGAATACAAGAGCGTGTTATGGAAGGAATGCGCTCACATTTTCACCTGGGTGGAACATGAATAAAGGCCCAGTGGTTACTTCAGAAGAGCGGATTACGGTAATCAATCAATGAAACGATCATTAACGTTACAGTAAGATGTAACTCTTTCTTCATACATTACATCTTTTTACTCCTTTATCTTTCCTCTTTCATTGAGGCACGCAGAGGAGGATATGATATGTATTAACTCCCATTTTTAGAGGCATGGAAGTCCTGAATTGTTGAAGCCCTTGGGCAAGCGTCGGTATCTGCCCGGAACCTGGATACAAAAATGATTAGCAGTTAAGAATAATGGGTACAATACAGCCACTTTCTACTCGAGTGGGTGATACTTTGAGAATGTTGCCTAGAGAATAATCCAGCAAAATCTAGCTGATGAGCAACTCACAATTTATCGTTCTAATCAGGCTTATCCCGTATTTTCGATTATGGAGAGATAGCATGTCACGAGAAGTGGAAACATTCGAGAGTGGTTGGGGGGGGGGGGGACAAAAACCTGGTATCGCGTTCGAATTGAGGAACACGTTAGGCTTTTACGAGGCATGAAAGCATTACTTCCATGCATTTGGTTCCGAACGTTAGTTTTGTTACAAAGGGTTTGTTGTCGCGAAAGCGAATCTGTTTGAATTTTCCACAATTTGCTCCCAAAGTTTCGTTAACACAGCTGATTTGTGCAGCCATCCTTTTCTCATGTTTTGCCGAATCGATTGCATTAATAGCGTAGGCCTTTGCGATCTTCGCTGTTCTTTGCCTTTGAAATCAGACCAGCGAAGACGTTAAGCCTCGAAAACCGTGCCGTTTTCGTCTTAAGTATGCTCGTATAATTCCTTGAGAGCTTTTCGTCTTAAGTATGCACGTATATTCCTTAAGAGCACGGATCACGATCGAAACGGTGTGTAATTTCGGTAAAAATCTGAGAAAAAGACTGATAAGAACGGCTGCAGTTGCAGCGGCGAGCGAGGGCTCTCTTGTTGTGCATAATAAAGTCGCAACAGCACCACCACCCATGTGGATCCCATGGAGGATTAGTGTTCCTGCTACCTCACTCAAGAGAATTTCTTCAAGGATCTGGTCGCGAGCTGTGCATTGAATTCGAGCAGAGTTGAGCGTTGTCTTAAGTCGTCGCTTCAAACTCTTACAAAAAGATCAAAAGTTCCAGAATAGTCTTCACGATATACACCCTTGGCAAAGTTGCATGCGCAAAGCAGAGCTTGCAAGCTCTGTGCTAGTCCAATCAGTACAATTTCTATGTATTGTGAATTATTTTCCGAATTTCACACATGGCTCAAGGCTCATGAGAAGCATAACAATCTATAATAGGTTTTGTAGGGACAGCATTCGACAAGAATGTTTATTGGTGTGCTAATTCATATGTTTATGTCTGTTTCTGATCACAAATGAAGGGATTATGAATCACCTGCCCTTTCAGCTTCTCAGTGATTTCAGGAGAAGCCTAGTCTTTAGCGTCTCATTCTCTAACCAGAAAGTCTTTGTTCGTGAACTCAGTATTATAGCGATTGGCAAATTTTAATACTTTAAGCACATTTTTTTGATTTTCGAGTTTCGATTTCAGGTATTTCACATAATTATGTGTTGTACAACAGTTGCAATGTAGCGTTGGGTGACCGAAGTGAATAGGGAGCTTCAGGAATCTGAAGGATCTGCTTATACAACAACAAAGGAGGACACTCCAAAACAGTGCAAGGAAGTGCCTTCTAGAGAGCAAAGGGATCGAGATTTGGGAAAAAAACGTTTTCCTTTCCTCTCAAATTGCAATATTACAAAGTACATAGGTCGATTTAGAGCGACTTTTCTAAACTGATCATGTTTCTATGCTTACCTTCGGCTTTTCAAAAATTACAGCGCTCGATTAGGACTCCGTTTCACACTGAGCCTTCGTCATGAGCGCGAAAATCGAGAAGCACTTTATTTCGGAAACGAAACACTTTTTCCTTTCCCTCAAATCTTACAGGGTATTGGTCGATTGTGTAGCGATTCTCCCTATCTTATCAATGAGATCAATCCCCTTGCACGATTAGTCGTTTTGAAGACTTCTCTAAATTAGCAACTAGGAAAACCTTTATAAGGAAATAAATCGTATCGATTAATTTCGCTCCTCCCTAAGACAGAAGCTTTCGTAAGGTATCGATCGACTACAGATTGATTTTTCCTAATCTCATGTTCTTCCTATGCCAAGATCATGAGGATTTCGATCTTGGACTGGGTAGTTTCTTATTAAAAGGCTCCTCCAAAACCTTCTATAATCCGAAAAAATGGGAGTCAAAGAATAGCAAAGTCTTTCCATTTTGAGAAATCGAACCATAGGCTTTTTTCACTCCATTTGGCGTTCCCAAGGACTCAAAGGAGAAAAACTAGATCTCTTCTTGAAGTTCTACGCAAGCGCCCTTGTGATTCGCAAAAACCATTTTGATTGAACGTTCTCTTTCCTTGAGTCTTATTGAAGTGAAGGAATGCAGCTTGTGCGTCATCTGAATGTGAAAATGCACTTAGTCAGAATAAGCGCTTCATTCGTCGGGCAGTACGTCAATCCGATAATGCTTTTAGAGACATTGCCCGTGACTCGTTGATGCATTACGTGCATATTTTATCGTTAGTCGGACGTATTGGAGATTTCTTTTTTCCGCACCCTATGACATCCTGTAACAGAGAATACCAGGCCACAGACCCACTTCCTTCTTCATTGGCCCCCGCCTCCTATTATTGTTCCTGGTATCCACTAAACCCTCCTCCTACAACCTTGAGGGCTTACGGAGCGCTTCACTACAATCGGCGAATTAGGTACGAATTGGCGCGGTAACCGGGCCCCCATATCTACTTACCTTCCTCCCCACCAACGCTACGCCGCAGTGGATTGCAAGCACTAACCAAGAATCTGCGCTGATGGCCAGTGGCACAGGAACCTTCGCACGTCTAAAATCGTGGAAGAACCTGGTGCGCTTAGAGAGCTGAGATAAAAGTTGAAATCGCTCGGATTTTCAACATCGTGACATCCATTGGAATCCTCCAAAGGATATGCCCCAGGGTGAACTGGTGTGGTTCTAGCATGAATATGAAAATGTTCGTGTGAAATTTCCCGGTAGCAAAAAAAATAAGGGAATAGAGGCCGTCGAAAACGTTCAGGTTGAGGACGTGCTCAGATTTGCAATGCAGCTGTGCTATGGCAATGAAGGGGACTGAGCGCGAAGAGGAGAGTATGAGGTGAGGGAGAGCAACAAATGAGAAGGCTCCAGGCAAATCCTGATGCGGACGAGGACGGACGAGGAAAACCTGAAATAGTTGGAGTTGTCTTTGCAGGATCTTTAGCGACACCCATAAACTCGCGTGATTTCGGCAGCGCCCACATCTGCGATTGTCCTTTAGGGGTCATCCCATTTGAAAAAAAAAACTCGTTTATGCAACTCCTGCATGGAATGTGCTTTCAAACGGCAGCAATGAATAGGTGACATGCAATTCATGCGCTACCCCAGGACACAGGAAACTACCTGTCAGCAACTTCTGAGCATGGCACAGACCGCATGTCGATCTCCATTGTCTTCACCGGCCTTGATAGCGGCCCCAAAGAATGGTTAGGACACTTTACCATATTTAGACGAAGATGTGACACCACTATTCGGGGCGAGGCCTCTCTGAGCAAACGCCATTTCGCACTAGACGACGCTAACGTCCCCCTTAAATCAAAGCGCAACAATAACCAGACACTTCAAAAAGTCGAGCTACGAGTCCGCCACTTGAAGCAATGCGCACGTATTTCATGTCATTCAGAATTTTAGCAGCTTGTGTGTTTTCTTTACACAGTGAATTGCATATGTTATCGTTTTAGATTTCTCAGTCTGCAAGGCCTCTCACCATCAGACCAGACCGGTGGAAGAGGGCCAACGGAGAGATGCGAAAACTCGTCGGGACTCGGTCGCCAGCTCCGGTCGGAATTAGGGTGCCAAACCCTGGTACGAGGGCCCACTCGCCATTATAATACACACGCTCTCGAGGCG